TCTCTCCTGCCCAGCTGGCCAGCCGGTCACAGGTGCCCTGCAGCCCGTGCCCGTCTAGCCCGGCACCCCCCTCCTCCTGCCGCGTGCCGCTGTCATGTCCTCCTTGCAGCCCAGCGGGGCAGGGCACCGCACCCCCGTCCTCCGGGACCCTTCCCCTCTGCCTGCGCTCACTGCCGGCACGTCAAGACTTGAGGTGCTTCATGAGAACCATGGAATCACCAATGGCCCACCTCTGGCGTGGGCCAGCAACCACTCGGTCAGTGAACGCTGAGAAAGCCCAGACTCCACAGAGAGGGTATTTGGTCCCGTGTGCCCAGGAGAGCGAGTCAGCGTGAGGGAGGGCAGGCGTGGCCCGCGCGGCTGCCTCCGTGTCGCCGGGACGTGCCAGCTCCCCTTCTGTTCTGCCAACGATTCTCACAAACAACATTTCATTATGAGAGTCCATCGCCGGGTGCAAATGTGCTTTTAATCTCTCCGCGCATCCTATGTCCTAAGAACTTACAAACCCATTTAGAGGCGTGACTGGCCATTCTCCAAGGGGCCCAGGTGGTTTAACCTGAAAGAGTCGCGCTCAACTGAATACCTAGGGGGCCCCGACGCCGCAGGGGCAGCCGCCGGCCTGTCTGCGTGGCCGAGGGTGACAGACCGGTCAGCGCCCCAAGGCCGGGAATAAAGTTTCCATTTCCTCTGAGTAGCTCTTTCCGATGTAAGTATCTCAGGTGGTGACACAACAGCCTCTCTAAGGCCAAATTTCTTCCACTTACAGATTTTTAAAATGATTTCTACTCTGAATCCTCAGACACACAGAAGGAAGCAAACGTGGGTAAAATCCACCCTCTGCAGTAAAAGCCGTTCTCTGCCCGCCCCTCCCGGCCGTGTGCCCCGTGCCCTTCTTGGAGATGGTCTCGCCGGGCCGCGGCCTGCGGTGAGGGTGTCGTGGCCCGCGGGCCCGTGGCAGGCACGGCGAAGACGCTGTCGCCTGACACTGTCACACTGAGCCCGGATCCAGCACCTCGGGCGGCCCCGGCGGTTGGACGGCAAAGCTGACGCGGCTGACGGGGAGAGGCTCGCCAGGCGACGGTCCCGGGCACGTTTGGCCGCAGAGACCCGGGGTTTTCCCGCAATGCTGGACAAGCCTTGGGTCCCTTCTGCCCCTCTGCCCCTCTGGCCCTCCTCCCTCTGCCCCTCTGCCCCTCTGCCCCTCTGGCCCTCTGTCCTTCTGTCCACGGCCCGCGGGGCCTGGGCGGCAGCTGGTCCTCGGGGGGGCTGGCGGCAGCGGGCGGGGAGGAGGCTAAATAGCCCGGGGAGCGCGGGCTCCAAGCACAGCGTCCTCAGGGAAAACGCGCCTGCTCCTCCCCCTGCTCGTCCCTCTGCTGAGTTAGACGAGGGTTCCCTGCCCCTGTCCCCGCCCCCCACCCCCCCCACCCCCCCCGTAAGCGGCGGGGAGCCCCTGCGCTGGCGGCGGCCAGGAGAGCCCTGGGGAGGGCTGGGTGTCCGTGGGGGACACGTCCCTTGGAAACAAGCCAACAAAAATCATTGCTCCTCAGCGCTGGCGCCGGCACCCAGGGGACCCAGATGGCTGCGCCCAAGCCGGGAGAGAACCTCAGCCCGGCCAGCTCAGCGCACGCCGGGGCGGGGCCGGCGCTCCCTGACCACTGGTGAGGGCTGGGCCGGCGCTCCCTGACGCCTGCGGGGCTGGACCGGCGCTCCCTGACCGCCTGCGGGGCTGGACCGGCGCTCCCTGACCGCCTGCGGGGCTGGACCGGCGCTCCCTGACCGCCTGCGGGGCTGGACCGGCGCTCCCTGACCACTGGTGAGGGCTGGACCGGCGCTCCCTGACGCCTGCGGGGGCTGGACCGGCGCTCCCTGACCGCCTGCGGGGCTGGACCGGCGCTCCCTGACCGCCTGCGGGGCTGGACCGGCGCTCCCTGACCACTGGTGAGGCTGGACCGGCGCTCCCTGACGCCTGCGGGGGCTGGACCGGCGCTCCTGACCGCCTGCGGGGCTGGACCGGCGCTCCCTGACCGCCTGCGGGGCTGGACCGGCGCTCCCTGACCGCCTGCGGGGCTGGACCGGCGCTCCCTGACCACTGGTGAGGGCTGGACCGGCGCTCCCTGACGCCTGCGGGGGCTGGACCGCTCCCTGACGCCTGCGGGGCTGGACCGGCGCTCCCTGACGCCTGCGAGGCTGGACCGGCGCTCCCACCGCCTGCGAGGCTGGACCGGCGCTCCTGACGCCTGCGAGGCTGGACCGGCTCCCTGACCGCCTGCGAGGCTGGACCGGCGCTCCCTGACCGCCTGCGGGGCTGGACCGGCGCTCCCTGACCGCCTGCGAGGCTGGACCGGCGCTCCCTGACCGCCTGCGAGGCTGGACCGGCGCCGCTCCTGACCGCCTGCGAGGCTGGACCGGCGCTCCCTGACCACTGGTGAGGGCTGGACCGGCGCTCCCTGACGCCTGCGAGGCTGGACCGGCGCTCCCTGACGCGGCTCTGCGAGGCTGGACGCGGCGCTCCCTGACCGCCTGCGAGGCTGGACCGCGCTCCTGACGCCTGCGAGGCTGACCCGCTCCCTGACCGCTCGCGGGGCTGTGCGCGAGGCGGGCGCGAAGGGAGGCCTGTGCGGTCCGGGGTGTGAAATTCTTTGATCGCCACAAATTTCTTGAGGGGGCGGCAGGGGCGCGGGGGCGCCGGACGCGTCGCCCGTGGACTGGGCCGGCAGGAGCGGGCGGACCGAGGGTGCAGGCTCTGCTGCCCAGAGACCACGCAGGGCGCGCAGGGGGCCGGTGCCAGGCCCCGCTCCCTCTCCGCCCCCCCCCGCCCCTCGGGGCCGGTGCCCCCACCCCAGGGCCAGGTCTTTGAAGTGGACGCGGACGCCGCCCTGGGCCTCCCTGCGCCCCGGCTTTCCTCGCGCCTCCCGCGCAGTCGGGGCGCCCGCCGGGCTGGGCGCGCTGGGGACCGGCCGGGCAAGACTAAGGGGCCCCGCTCCGGCCCCGCCCAGCGAGGCCCCTGAGTGGGGCGGGCCCCCCCAGAAACCCACCGGCTTCGGGGTCACGAGCAACAGGGGCTGCCGGCCAGACGCGCCAGAGGCCTCGCCCCGAGGAGCCCCGAGCCCGCGGCCACGGCCACGCCCGACGCCCGTGTCCCCACGACGGGGCGGCTCCCGCGACGGCGCCCGGGCAGGGGCCGGGATCGGGGCCCACGCGGCCGAAGGGGGGGGGGGAGCCGGGACAGCGCGGGCGGCTGGGCCATTTTGGTCCCTTCAGCCCGCGCCGCCGCGGCTCCTCAGGCTTCAAAATACAGTTAATAGGAAAAAGTACTTAAATTAGGGAGCGCGCGTGGGTGACTCTCGGAGAACTGGGGTCTCAGCTCTTCGTTGTCAGCGAAACCAGGGGCCGCGGGAGCAGCTGTCCCGGCGGGCCGCCCTGGACACCCGGGCCGCGGGGCGCTGGGTCGGCCGCCGCAGCGGGGCCCCGGGCTCGGCCCGGCGGGATCGGGGACAGACGGGAACAAGGGGGGCTGTTCTCCGACCACCGCGGGGTGACCGCAACCCGCTTTCGGGGCGCCTCAGGGAGACACGCGGACTGCGCGAGGCTCAGGCCCGGGGTCGCTGGTCCCTGCGCCGCGGCGTCCTCAGAGCGCGGGAGCTCGCGGGGCTCCGGCCTCACAGCAGCCGCGGGGGACGCTCGGCCTGTGCCGCCGTGAGGGGGGTGTTGGGGGGCCTCCCAGGGCCAGGAGAAGGACACTGACCACCCCCACCTCACACACAAACTCGGCTCTGGACGGACAACACGTGGCTGGAAGGTCTGAAGCCAGAAAATGTGTAAAGAAAACACAGGCGAACACACTGTGCCTCTGCTTCGGGAACGTCCGGGGACTCCCTGCAACCACAAGGAAAACAAAAGCTAGAAAAAGCAAACGGCGCTGTATGCAAGGCCCACTTGGGTCAGCAGCTCCGCTCCTCCGTGTCTTGCTGAGGAGCACGGCACTGCTCAGACGGACGTGTGCTCTCCGGGTCATCCATGGTCATCCGGCCTGTGTCCAGTAGCCGAGTTTTGGAAGCGCGTAAGTGTCTGACAACAGAAGAGTGGATGAAGAAAGAGTGGCCGAGATACACAGTGAAACACCACGAAACTCTAAGACGTCCCGCCGTGTGTGACGACATGCCTGGAGCTGGAGGGGACTGGCGAAGCGTTATTACTCACAGACGGAGAAAGACGAAACCCGGACCATTTCACTCCATCACTTGTGGCATACGGAGAAAGAAAACAAAGGAACAGAGAAAAATAAACCAAACAAGCAGAGAACCCTGACTGTAAACTGAGGTTGTCAGACGGGAGAGGAGGGGAGGGGCCGACACAGGAAAAGGGCCTCCGTGGGCCAGGGAGGAGGACATTGCGCCTTCTGGTGCTGGGCGTGGCCACACACATCTGAAGATGTTCGCACCCGCAGATCTCAATCTCACACACTTGTGTAAGCCAACATAAGTGCAAAAAAATGCAATATAAAATAAATGAAAATAGAACGATAAAATATTTAACAGCAAAATAGAACACTAGTATTCCAAAGTACATTGTCAAAAAGAATATTATTTGAATTATCACTAGGAACTGTGAAAATCAGCACATGGATTTGGAAGAAAAAGTTACTGACACAAATTAGTTATGAATAAATAAGGAGTCCATTATTTGTGGAGTAAATCGTGTTTTCTGATTACACTAATTAAATTGCAAGAAAATGACAAACACGGTGTTTAAACGCCCAGCTCAAAGCAGTCAGAGAACCAGAGGACTCATTTTTTTTAAATCCATCTTATACTTGAAGCAAAGATTTCTGAACCAAAATAATAACTATCTGGTCTTGAAAGTGAATGTAAGTATAAAATGAATTTGCTCCATTACTAAGTCTCACGAACAATTAGAAGACTGACCGGAAATAGAAATCAGAATTGAAATGTCTACTTAGATGATATAATCTGAATGTCTGGAACAGTAACACCCCCTGACATTTCCTTGCGAGCAAAGAAACAATTACAATTACATCGGTAGATTTAGAATACAGAGAAATGATTTAAGGTGTCAAGATCCTCCTTTAAATAGCTTTGCATTTACCAAAAAAGGGACAAATATAATTATGTTTGGATAAAAACTCTATTTCATATGCTACCTGAATAACCAAGTTCCTTAGTTATGTCATCAATGACTATCAGGGCATACATGATTGAATGTACAAAGAATGACCATATGATACTTATGATTAGGTGGAAGAGTATATGTTTCACTGTGTTCTCTATTTCTCAAAATATGACTTCTATAGTTAAATGTAGACAAATGTGTCCTTATTAATATATGCTGTATTCCATTTTAGAGTAAATTTTGTCCGTTGCAGATTTGCATTGGGTGAGCAAACACTTCACATTCCTCACACTCTGAAAACTTTCCTAAATGCTCTAGTGACGTCCTTGTTCCGCAGGCTGTAGATGAGGGGGTTGAGCATGGGTGTTATGATGGTGTAGAACACAGAGACTGCTTCGTCCTGCTCGGGGGAGTGGTAGGACTTTGGCAGAAGGTACGTGAAGATGGCAGCCCCGTAGAAGAGCAACACCACAATCATGTGAGAAGAGCAAGTAGCCAAGGTTTTCCGGAGCGCCTGGCCTGATCCCATGCCCAGAACAGTGACGAGTATCCTTCCATAGGAGCACAGAATAGCTGAGACGGGAGGGATGAAAAAAATCACAGCACACACAAAAACAATCTTTTCATATCGGGAAGTGTCAGCACAGGCCACTTTCAGAAGCACTGGGATCTCACAGAAGAAATGATGGATTTCCCTGGAGGCGCAGTAAGGGAATGTCAGAGTATAGATTGTATGAAACAAGGCATTGAGCACAGAACCCAGCCAGGTCACAAGCACCAGGAGCACACAGACCCTGGGGCGCATGAGGATGGGGTAGCGCAGAGGCTGGCAGATGGCCACGTAGCGGTCATAAGCCATGACCGCCAGCAGCAGGAACTCTGAGCCAGCAAGGAGATAGAAGAGGAACATCTGGAAGCTACACCCAACGAAGGAGATGCGGTGGTCCCCAGACAGAAAGACCAAAGCCATTTTGGGGACAAATGTGCAGATGTAGAGGAGATCCATGAGGGACAGCTGGCTGAGCAGAAAGTACATGGGGGTGTGGAGAAGAGGGTCGGCCCAGATGAGGATGATTATTATGGTGTTGCCGAACAGGGCCACCAGGAAATCGAGCAGGGTGAGTGTGAAGAGGACCCAGGGCACCGGGGTGCTGTGGAACAGATCCAAGAGGATGAAATCACTGCCTGAGGTCTGGTTGCTCATGCTCATGTTCCAAATTTGTAACTTTGGAGGGTTTCAGCAGCATAATGTTCATATCTATATTAAATTTTACAAAATAAAGTCATAATCACTTTTTAACAACTCAAGCCCATGTACCTTGGTACCTCTCATCTTTTAATTTTAGTAAATAAATATATTTTTCATCCCCAAGACTTTACTAAGGAATATAAAAGACCACCAAGAAAACTTATCCCATTAGTGTAAGGCCATATTATTGTTTATGTTAAATATATAGTTTAAATTTTTTATTATAAATTAGAATTCTAGAAATTGAAATTCTCAGGTAGTAATACTCAACTTCCACTTTATATAACAGTCTGTAAAACTAGACAAGTATTCATAAGTTAACAGTACAATTTTATCTGCATCAGTATTTTCTAACAACTTTATCAATAAATTTTATGGAACAAGTGTGGAAAATCTGGAGAAAATAATTCAGAGTCAAAAAAAAAAAACTTGTCATACCTATAATCAGTAGCCTTTTCTAGAATTACTTCTTGAAATTTCACATTGGCAAAAAGAACAAAATAGGTTTTCAAGAAGCTATTATAAAAAAATTAAATTAAGTAAGTGCTATTCCTTAAAGCTGCATGTTTCTCTTTTAATAGACTCAGTGAAATAAGCCCACTCACGGCAGGAGAACTGTGGCATTTAGTCGCTGTGCAGCTCCTGTTGCACATGGCCACATGCCGACTCCAGACAGGACGAGGCACAGAACCCTGGCTGGCAGAGCAGACTGCATGCTGGACATGCACTTCTGCCAGGGAATAAAGGGGAGTCACTGCCCTCAGGAGGGGGTGCAGCAGCAGCCTCAGAGCTAGAAAATCCCAAAGGATTTTCTTTCCTTTCTTTTTTTCCTTTTCTATCCTTCTTGGTACTGGTCCAAAGAGCACTTAAAGTAACTTCTGAAGTGACAGGACAGTAGGAAGCACACTTTCATGGCATTATTTTGAGAATGAGTGTGAAATGCTGGTATGTTTTCATTACCTCTCAAGTTACACTTTCTCTTTGAGGGGATGCATAATGAAACTTTAATTGTCAGTAGTAATGAGACTTAATTTATAAAACATACCTTAAATATATTAGAACATGTTAGTGGTTTAATGAAGAAAATAGTAAAAGTAGCTAATGCAGGTGTAGAAAATTCTGTTCAAGAACGTTGGAAGCACCTTCTAACGTGCCACAACAGTGAATTCACAACATTCTAAGACAGTGACAGGAAAATCTGTGGTCCTTACCTCAGTACTCAGCACCTGGAGAGACATGAAATGGAGGCCACAGGATCTGGAATGAAGGGTTGAGCTCACGGGGGAATCGATGCATAAACTCCCTACAATCCCAGCACGCATGTGTACAAAATAAGAATTTTACATTAGTCCTTATCGCTAAGAGGACATAGCACTTGCTTCTTAGCTTCCATTGAGAGCTAAAGAATAATTCATGGTCATGGGTTAAGTTTTTGCTCATTTATTGAAATAAGTCCTCCCAGGAATGTAACATTCCACCTTCTAAATACCTTTCAAAAACCACCTGACAGATAGTTCCTGTACGTTTACTAATTAACGCATATGAATGCCCTCAATCCAAAATGGTACAGCATAATTGAATAAAAATGTTAGTATTTTGACATTTATTTAACTCATGATGCTCAAAGACAGAAAATAAGAATTAAAAACTATACATAGAGTCAAGCAGTATCCTAAAGACCAGTGAGTAACAACTTGGAGCCACTTTCACCAATTGCCACCTAAAAAAGCTAACAGTTTTTCACTCAGGGACATGAATCAACTAGCAGGATGTTTGAGTATATTCTGGGGGAAGTAAACAAAAGCATAGATATCAGATATCATTACAATGATTTCACCAGAGATTCATGCTCATTTTCTTTTCAAAAAGAGCCTCAAGGAAGGCTTTGCACATGTGAGACGGCACCTCTGGAATAGTTCAACTCCTAACGTACCTTTTTGTACAGAACTGACTGCTGCCCTCAACCCTGGAATTAGGATGTTACAGCTTTTAGGAAAAATAATGAAACAAGATGATTGATCTGGGCATCAGAATTTGCCTTCTCATATAATATTAGATTATGTAAAATAATGTAACTGCCAGCAGCCCCCAGCTATAGGTCTTGTTCACAACCAATAGAATGTATCAGCAATACTATGTAGATGTGTAGCTAGCATTAAACAAATGGAGTCGCTTAGGTTTTTCATTATAAAAGCTAGGTTACAGCTTCCTATGTTAAGTAGCTAAGCGATCACCTCTTAAACATATTTCCTGAGAAAATATTCTACTTACCACTAGGGAAATATCAATCCTGCTCATAAAGTGTTGTTGATAAATGTCTAATTTCTCGCAGTATCAGAAACACAGATTGCCTAAGAGAAGGGGTTAAATAGCTTCACCTTGTTGCTTCAGTAGTCTTCAGGCTATTTACTGTTCCATGGGAAGTTCTCAGAGGGAAGGTCCCCCAAGGTAAAGGTGCACCAATTATCTTCCTGTCCTTCATAACCCCGAGGACAGCCTGCAGCCATCTCACAAGCCTGTGCTTCTCTAATCAGAGAAAATGCTTGTCAAGAGATGTGAGCTCAAAAGGCTGAGTGAATATTAACATTAAAGTTTACTTTTCAAGCCACTTGCTTGCAAAATAAGAAATTTATCCATATGCAAAGGAACAGAGGAAGAAAAAAATCAGAGAGGAACTACAAAGACAGTAAGAAAACAACAAACAAATGGAAATAAGTATATACCTTCAACAATCACTTTAAATGTAAATGGTAAATTATACTTTCAAAAGATACAGAGTGGCTGAATGATAAGAGACAAGACATCTATTTAATGCCTACAAGAGACACATTTCAGGTGTAGGGAGGCAGAGACAGAAACAGAGACTGAAAAGGGAAGGAGTGGGAAATGATATTCCATGCTATTGCAAATGATCAAAATGTTGGTAGAGCTATACTCATACCAAAAACATAGATACTAAAACTAAAGCCATAAAAAGACAAAGGAAAACAGTATATGTTGATATATAGGGCTGACCAACAAGAATATATAATGTTTTAATATATTTTCACCCTGCAAAACACAACCAAAATATATAAGGCAAATATTAACAAACCTAAAAACAAAATGACAATACAATAATTTGGGCAATGTTAGTAACCCAATTTCATCATGGGTAGATCGTCCACACAGAAAATCAATAAGGAAATACTGGCCTTAAATGGTACATTAGATCACACAGACGTAAAAAGAAATCTAGAACATAAAAAAGGAAAATATTAAATAATTACAACTGCAATCATATCAAGCATCATTTTCAACTACAACTGCATGAAACATGAAATTGAGTACAAGCAGAAAACTAAAAAATCACAAAACTTAAAGATCAAAGAACATGCGTGAACAACTATTGAGTCCATGACAAAAATTAAAGGCAAAATTATACACGCAGATAAAAACAAAATGGAAATACAACATACCAAAATATATATAGACTGCAGCAAAGTTGTCTCTAAGAGAAAATTAGAGCAATACAGACCTACATCAAAAACCAACAAAAAATCTCAAAAACATAAAGGAACTAGAAAAAGCACAAGCAACATGCAAAGTGAATAAAATATTGGAAATAAATATCAGAGTAGCAATAAATGGAACAGACTGAAATAATAATAGAAAAGTTAAATGAAATTAAGAACAGCATCTTTGAAATCAAAATTGACAAACCTTTGTTTGGCTAGACTCAAGAAAAAGAGAGGGCTTAAATACATAAAATCAAAAATTGGAAGTTAAAAAGAATACTTGAGAAACACAACGATCTATAAGAGATTATAAGAACACATAGATGACAACAAGATGGACAATCTAGATGAAACAGATTTATTCTTAGAATCATAAAATATCTCATGACTGAATAGTGAGGAGACAGAATATCTAAATAGACCCATTTTAGTAAGGATTTTGAAGTTGTAATCAAAAACCTTCCCCCCAAAAAAAGCCAACTGCTTCACTGGTAAATTATACCAAAGATTTAATACATATCCTCCTCAAATGCTTCAAAAGCTTTAAGAAGGGAACATGTCCATAGTCATATTACTATGTAAGTATTACCCTGAAATAAAACAAATGAGACCATGACAAAAAAAAAAAAAACTACAGGTCAATAATCCTGATGAACATAGATTCAAAAATCCTCAAAATATTAGTAAATGCAACTCACAATGATATAAAAGGCTTATATACAATGATTTTTTTCATCTATTACAGGAATTCAAGGATGGCTCACCATCTCTCAATGAAGGATTAAAATCTTTTTTTTTAATTTTTTATTATTTTTAAACAATATTTGCTTCCCCTCACCCCCTCAGATTGAGCACCCATAGAATTTCCTTCCCCAAGACACCCGTGCACCATCACCACAGTCCCCTGTGCTCCTCCCTCCCTCCCTCTCATTTCTCTCCCTCCTCCTCCCCTGCAGGATGTCTCTGATTTATAATTGTCTGTTTTTTCTTTGTTGTGTTTTGTACTGTTATTATTTTTTTACACTGATATCTTATTGGGTTCCCCTATATTCTTGTTATAAGTGAAACCATCTGATATTTTTCCTTTTCCTTCTTGCTTATTTCACTGAGCATAATTCCTTCTAGCTCCATCCACGCTGCTGCAAATTGCATGTGTTTATCTTTTTGACTACTGAGTAATATTCCATTGTGTATATGTACCACATCTTCTTGATCCAGTCATCTATTCTTGGGTATTTGGGTTGTTTCCAGGTTTTACTTATTGTAATAGTGCGGCAATAAACATTGGTGTACAGGTGTTCTTTTGAATCAATATTTTTGTGTCCATTGGGTAAATCCCTGGGAGCAGAATTGCTGGGTCGTATGGTAGCTCCATTTTTAGTAGACTGAGGAACCTCCAGACAGCTTTCCATAGTGGTTGGACCAGTTTGCACACCCACCAACAGTGTAGGATAGTTCCTTTTTCACCACATCCTCGCCAACATTTGTTGTTGCTTTTTTTTTTTGATATGTGCCATTCTTACTGGTGTAAGGTGGTGTCTCAGTGTGGTTTTGATTTGCATTTCCCTGATTATAAGGGATGTTGAACATTTTTTCATATGTCTGTTGGCCATTTGCATTTCCTCTTCAGAGAAATGTCTTTTGAGTTGTTCTGCCCATTTCTTGACTGGATTGTTTATTTTGGTTTTGTTGAGTCATGTGAGTTCTTTGTATATCTTTATGATCAATCCCTTATCAGTTGAATGGAATACAAAGATTTTTTTCCCAATCAGTGGGGTGTCTCTCCGTTTTGGTTAATGTCTCTTTGGCTGTACAGAAGCTTTTCAGTTTGATGTTATCCCAGGTGTTTATCTTTGCCTTCACTCTCACTGCTTTGGGTGATGAGTCTTTAAAGATGTTTCTGAGATGTATGTCTTATAGTGTTTTACCTATATTTTCTTCTATCTATTTTATGGTTTCAGGTCTTATGTCCAGTTCTTTTATCCATTTGAGTTGATTTTTGTGCATGGTGAGAGGTAATGGTGTAGATTCATTTTTTTGCATGTGGAGGTCCAGTTTTCCCAGCACCATTTATTGAACAAACTGTCCATGTTCCACTGCATATTCTTTGCTCCTTTGTCAAAGATTAGTTGTTCATATAAGTGTGGCTTTATTTCTGGGCTCTCTATTTGGTTCCATTGGTCTGTGTGTCTGTTTTTGTTCCAATACCAAACTGTTTTAATTATTATGGCTTTGTAGTATAGCTTGAAGTTTGGAAGCGTGATACCTCCTTTCTCCTTTGTTTTCATCAGTAGGTCTTTGGCTATTCATGGTTTTTTGTGGTTCCCTATGAATTTCATCAGTATTTTTTCTATTTCTTTGAAGAATGTCATTGAGATTTTTATTGGAATGGCATTGAAATGTATATTGCTTTTGGGAGGATGGCCATTTTAATAATGCTGATTCTTCCAATCCATGAGCAGGGGATGTCTTTCCATTTCTTTGTGTCTTCTTCAATTTCTTTTAACAGTGTTTTATAATTTTCTTTGTATAGGTCTTTCACCTCTTTTGTTAGGTTTATTCCCAAGTATTTGATTTTGTTTGTTTCAATTACAAAAGGGATAGTTTTCATGATTTCTTCTTCAGATTGTTTGTGTATAGGAAAGCTACTGATTTTTGTGTATTGACTTTATATCCTGCTACTTTACTGAACTGGTTGATTATTTTGAGTAGTTTTTCTGTGGAGTTTTTAGGGTTCTCGATGTATATTATATCATCTGCAAATAGTGATAGTTTTGAAGGATTAAAATCTTATGTGCATCTCAAT